GTGGTAAACAATCGAGCTCTCCTTTCTCCCACTGCTGGATTGCCACTGAACTCATGGGTGCACTCCCTTTTCCCCCCTTTCCTCTCTTTAACTCAAATTTTTCTCCCTCTTTTTTATTTTTCAGCTTGACCACAAAAAATTGGTAGGGGGTATATGTTTTATCGCGTACAACTTACATTTTTTATCTAACCGAAAAAACAAACGTTTCTTGTACAATTACAAGTCTACCAATGACTATGGGACACACTGTATACCCGCCGCGAAGCACTGTTTAGGAGCCTATTTGTTTAAAAACATACCAACATATTGTGGCTATTACATCTCTCACACACATTTCACACTGTATTATCTCAAAAGTTCCACTCTGACCTAGGTCACAAAGAACTAATTTAATTTGAGCTGAATTTCAAAAATAAAAAAAAAAGCTACAAAATGTCTTAGAACCTGGTCATAAACATTTGCATATTGTATGAGAGGATTTAAAAATTGCTATTGAAACTATTACTACATCAATATTACTATATGGACCAAATGAGGTTTGAACCGGGATCTTTACCAAGTACGTAGTTATTTTTGAAAAACCTCCAATGAAAGGACACTACAAAGAGCTATGGAATTTATAGACGGCCGGAAATAGCATTCTCCGACTTAAATTTGAATGTGATTCACTTCACCCTCACATTTTTTCCCAAAACAATTTAGGGACAGTGGGGATGAGGGAATGGAAGTCCTTGAATTTGCCTCTGCTAAATCATTACCATTATTACAGTAATGAAATTCTAAGGCATGTTTAACAGTATTAACTCAAACAGCTATTGGTACAATTGATTTACCTTAACCTGGAGGAAGTATTACACAGTTGCACAAAATGACTTTCCTGTTACAAGTTATTAACTGTAACTATTGATTGATTATTGGTACCTACATATAACATCGATATCAACCTTTACTAAGAGGTTAGGTCAAAAATCATATTAGAATATGGCTATCAAATTCATGTCTCCTTAAAATATACCGTATATTCCGGTGTATAAGCTGCACCTGTGTATAAGCCGCCCCTGTAATTAGGATGCGAAATATCACAATTTATTGTGTCACATGTGTATAAGCCGCACCTATTTTTAGGCTCCAAACCGTTCCTACAATGTTAGGTTTTTAATTATTTTGAAACATTGACATTATTTACAAATGTTCACATAAAAAATTTTCATCTTTTTCGGCCGATTATTAAACAACAAACAACTGGAAATGCGTATAAACTTCTGGCTACCGCAATGAAACAACGTATTCTTGTGCTAGGCAGCTCTAGGGAAATCCCCATTTCTTGCTAGTTTAGTTTAAGTTAAATAAAATCTAATAAAATAAAATACTTATTGAGTATATTTATCTATTTTAAACAATCATTCTATTAACAGTAGGTATTAGGCTAAAAATATTGGTAATTCTAGGACTAAGTCATTACTACTCACAGCCCACTGTGCGAAGCATGCACCATCGTGCACCACGTTTTATAAACAAAAACAGAACCTTAGAAATATCATGTGATGCAATTAGTTTACTCATGCACAGATGACGTATGCCTTTCTTCAATTAATTGTCATTAATTTCCAGTAAAATAATTATTATATCTTCAAGAAAACTTGTGTTTTTATAGCAAGCCACCAAGAACCAGACGTCGAACAGCAAGTTTCACAAGCTCACGTGTTTTGTTGCGACATTGTAAATGAAGCTGCTCACGTGACCTCTAGGACTGAAATGGCGAAAACTCCCGAAAAGTAGTTTGTTATTGTTTTGAGCGAAACGGTTTCGAACAGAAACAGCGTGTTTCAAAACTGTTTATGAGTGAACATAATTTAAACAACCCAAACCATTGCTTGAATGAAAATGTAGTAGGAATCCTAGTACAGCACTGTAGTGAGTATAATTACAAATACTAGGCCTTCAAACCGGTCCTACCCTAGACTAATTAATTGGGCTAGCATGTGCCCAAGCTAGACAGGCGGCGCCTAATTTTCGCTGCGGCTCGCGATCTGAACTTTTTGGGGAGTAGGTTAATGACCGGTGTATAGGCCGCACCCCAAACTTCGGGGGAAAATCGGGTATAAAATTTTCGGCTTATACATCGGAATGTACGGTATTTGTTTTTTAGTACAAATACAATATAGAAAGCAGCTGGAAAACACTCAAAATACAAAAATGTTGCGTCTGCTTCTCCACAAGGGCCGGCAGGATAACCAGGTGCTGAGCCAGAAAAATGAATTAGGTCGTCCAGAATGGAAGCCACGGTCACACCCCTACCAAACATAAGGAAAAAATAGAAAATTATGATCTTTAGAGGTGTTAAATTAGCTATCACAGAGATATTTAAGTTACATACGTACAGTAGATTGCGCAAATCTACAGTATTTCTAGGCTACGCTGATTGCATATTCATCTATGTTGCCTTAGTCTAGTGCAAATTCTACTCTAGGTCCTCCAAATCGAGTGATAGGCCTTGACCTGATAATTTGTTGACTAATAAAATTTATCTTGTGAGATTAACAACAAATCTTCTTTACGGTATTTCACGAACTAATTATAACTAGAGAGTTACGAACACCAACAATATTATGTTGGAGAACCGAATCTCAAGTATTGTATTTGCAGAGATACGTGCATGCGTTGTGAACGACTAAGAACCGTCCATTTGCATATGGGTATAAATGTTTTTAACACGATGCGTGTGGTAAACAAACTTTTCACCAGGTAGGAAATGGTTAAGCCTTACATTTTTGGGAATCCCCACGAATATTGGTATGGAAAAAACGTAGGCCTACATTCAATCAATAAATGTTGTTTTTATTGAATGTAAATATGATTCAGCTTTAGTTCAGTGTAATATTCGATATATATAAAGAATATTTATATTTATAAATAAATAAAGAATTTGCTAAGAGTAGACCCAATTAGGCTAGGTCGAGCGGATTAGGACAAGCCGCCCAAGCCGTCACGGTAAAAGTGGCCGTCCTAAATAATTTTTGGCCATCCAATGACGGCCTGGCGACTCGCTGGCTAAGCATATGCCGTCAATGTGGCTCTCCAATCGATGTTGGGAACCAGAAAAACAATAAAACACAAAAAAAAAGTAGAATATAAATTTAGATTTATACATGGAAAATTTCAGTTACCATTATCATAAACCATCATAACAACCAACCACCATTATTAAATTGACAATATTATATTTATGTGGGTTTTTTTTTTTTAACATAAATTTTATTAATATAATCGGATACAATATACGACAAGACACCCAAAAGACTCAGTATCCAGACATGCTAAAGCAAGATAATGGACAGTCATTATACTGTAGGTTATAATAATGTTTCCTGAGCAGGTTACTAAAATAGTTGAATTTATTAAGTGCTGCATCACTGTCATTGAAAATGCTCACTGCTATCTATGCATTTCAAACACTTGAAGAACACATCAATAAGGTAGTCAACATGAAAAACATGAATCCAATAACAAATGACATTTCAAGACCTCAGAAGGGGAGTTACATCTTGAGGGTCCCTTAAATAGTCAAACAATAAACGGAAAACCAGCTCTTCATGAGGCACATAAGAGACATTTATGTAGGCAGATATTACTAGCTTGTTTTTATCTTTGCTTTGGTTGCGGTCGGAAGGCCGATATTTTTGGGTGCTGCATATGAATTAGATTTATTTGTGAAGCTAGTTTGTCCTAGCAAAGAAGGCTCTTTTGCATTTATGACCGCACTTGAGAATGATTGCAAAAATTAAATCGTTCTACCACCACCCTCTTACCCCTCCAAGTGTCGGTACAAGTCCTGCCATTGTGGCACCCAGTCTTCATATATTGTCATACAGTATACTGTGTAAATGTTACAAATTTATTCGTTATTAAGTTGGATGGTTATGTATTTTTACTGCATTGCAACTCCAAGTAGAGCCTGTAAGGCTTCTTAGATAATCCTTTTTTAGTTGCAGCTGGTTGAAATGGAAAACAATTACATAATTTGTTGTAGGTCAGCATTTTAGTAAATTTTATTTTAGTCGAGTGCTGACCTATTTGTTATATTTCAAACTTCCCTTTTCATCATTCATGGATTATGATAATATCATGCAATGCAGTGTAAGCGTTTTCCTTGTTGCATGCGTCTGTTTACATAAAACATATTATGTCCATACAGTTGGAATTAACAGCATAAATATCGTTTCAACGAAGAAGCAAAAATTTAAAAACAAACTGAGTAAAGGGGTATTAAAAGAAGTACAGTAAACAAACAAGCAAAAAATCAAACTTTATCAATGTACCTATTATTTATTAACTGTTTACTTTTGCTGACTAGTAATAGTATGGTCTTAACAATAGGCCTAATCTGATTGTTTAATTATGATCTCTTTATAGTTTATATGCTTTACAAGTTAATAATGAGTCAGTAGCACTGAGAAACTCAGAACAGAATGATGGCAATAAATAATTTTTGAAGCGAAGTAAAACAATGAAGGTGGTAATGCAGTAAAAGATTTATAATGACTATAATGTGATACACAGCTGAATCAGTGTAGTAGGTAACATTCCAATGGCTGAGTGGGCAGAAACAAATTAGGAACTCAAATAAGATCATACTCTACCAACATAATCAATAGACACAAGATGTTCCTCTATGAAGACAAAACCATGCTTATTTACCACTTTACTCCAATATAACCAAGTCTTTTTTTTATCTTAAATGATGATAAGCATGTTACATTCTTACAAAAGTATGTTGTATTAAAATTTGGTGTTTTTTTTTTGTATCTTGTAATTTTTTGTTGCTTCAGGTGAGCATTAATGTTTCCAATACATCATGTTTTGTTAATTTTATAGTAGGATATTGTATTATACTGTAGGCCCTTCATGAGTAATGGAATAATGAGTGACATCACTTAGGAGCATATTGCTCAATGACAGTGGTAATCTGTTGGTTCCTGTATTATAAATGTTTTACTTACAAGAAGCCGGACTTGGGAGATATAAGGCCAGATCAACAAGGATTTGGTAGGGATTAGGGTACCTTTGGGAATAATGATTCACACCTGATTAGAACAGACTACATAGCAAAACACGTTGAGTTGATCAACCATTAAATAATAAAAAAATGTATTTTTAACAAATTGTATTACTTCTAATAATTCATATTAACTATACATTAATATCACATCACATATAAAAAAACATTTGAAAGGTTAACTTTATGATAAAAGATCTACTGTAAGGTGAAATGACTTCAGACAATAAGTATTACTAATGACATTCTAGTCAAATTAAATTTTTATCAATCAACTGCTAATTTAAAATTCGAGCAAGTAATCAACTACCTATCTATTTAAAACAATAATGTGTCATCCTTTATCTACAAAAAAACAAACATGTTTAAAGGAATTTACACTGCGATTGCTATTTTTTGTATGAATATAATAAAATAATAGACTTAACGCTAATAGATTAGATACTCGACTTTGAGTCTTCCACTTGAACGCACAATCGTCAATAAATTTTACTTAGCCACACAGAAATAGTGGTTATAGTCTGGACTGTCCAATGATTACACTTTTTTTTTTAAACCAATAAAACTATAATAGACTGGTATCTAGTTAGCTCTAGAATAATATTTTTGTCATAACTCATAAAGTAATGACAGGCCCATAAACAGAATTCCTTAAGGGAATGGATTCACAATGATAGCCACAGATCCAGGGGCACCCAGGATAAGTCCATGGATGATGCATGTATTTGAGCAAGTAAATGGTGAATTTATCATCATATTTTACTGGATGCACAGAATTGAGGTAGTTTTGTTTATCAGAGGGTTCGTTCAAAAAAGGATTTGGACCAACCATAGAAAGCCCCTGTCTATAGGCATTCTAACCTGTTGTCAAAGTAAAAAATAAATATGACATATGATACTAACATTAAATCATTTACAAATAATATTATTAATATTTGAGTGTTCTGCTTAGTCTTGAATCATCTCTTAGTTTTACTATACTTGACATGTCACACGATTCCGTAAGCCTGATATGTACGTCAGATACATTATTTCCTAGGTAACCATAACACAATTGAACTTTATGTCTCAAGTATTATAACATAATCCTAGAAATGATATTAGACTGAGCACCAATCAGGAGAGACCTTATTTAATCAAAAGGACTGTGAAGGTATGTTTTCTCTCCCCTAAGGAGACTCAATAAAACACTCATTTGTGTCCACACTAACTCAGTCAAGCTCAGCTTGAGAAAAATGTGAATAACACGACAAAATAAGAGATAAATTACAGTATGATTTCAAAGTAAATTTCAATCTGAATTCAGGGCAATAAACAGCAAATTCTTGGTTTTGTTTTTTTCTTCCACTCTTTATAAGGATTAAATAATAGTCCTACAGAAAATATAATTCTTATTCAACTCACCCTAGGGTATTGCTAAATCCCACAAACATCATGTTTTAGGTGAAAACTTGATAGATGAAATACCTCATACAAACCTCTGAACACATCACTCAGACCTCTTGATAATGATCATATACAGTAGTGTGTTGCAGAGCATACCAATAAAATATGACTAAAAAATGAACTTTTTTATATTAATACTCCACTTTTTTCATTTTGTATGAAAAACCTTCTTTCAACCCACTCGGTGTAGTATGAGCTTGCAGGAGATTGGCAGGGTTTGTAGAGTTTAGCAATACGCTCACAATGAAGTTAAATAAGTAACAGTTGTATTATTTTACATTAACAAGTAAAAATAATACAATGATAGAGCTAAATGCAAGTAATTACAATTTGTGTAAGACTTTATTTTAAAATATGAAATATAATATAAATGACATGGCAACTTCAAAACATACAGTACCAACGGAAACTATTGCAATTTTTCCTGCACGCAGGCTACGTAGATACATCGCAGCCTGATATAAACAATCTAAGCAACGCTACGAAAATCCAGCATCGGGCAGCATGCGGACCAAAGGTTAACCTCGTGGCAAACGTTAAAAAGCTGTGAGCTGTGTGCGTAAAAAGTGAAGAAAATGTGGTCCAACATGACTAGCCTTCATTCGGCGAGGTAGTGATTTCTGTAGTTCCATTAGTATTAGATCGCTTTGCAGGTTCTACTTCAAATTACGCTAAACAAAAACAATGTGATGTTTAATCATAATATTTCACATCATTAATATTTTGTACTTGATTTGTCATCGATATTGTTATTTAAAAGAAGAAAATGCCTACTGCCAGAACAATAATATCAGATCAAAATGCTCCGAATTGGAAAGTTAACTAACTGTATAATTATTGTCTGCTTTCCTCCTCTTAGGGGAAAATGTCAGCCGTAAATGACATCGAAATTTGAACGTACTGAAGGCTACCTAGCTAAACACGGTTTAAAAACATGATCGATCTAATAAGGTAGGAAATAACAAAACAATAAAGTTCTAACATTGTTTATTTAATAGTAAATTGCAACATTGCTCATGTGTTGAAAGCTGGTTAACTATATTTCAATATTGTTTACACATTGTTTATCAGCCGATGATAAAGCCTACGATCATTGCAAAGCTAATTAAAATAACAATGACCTTCATAGTGGTTCGTAGAGCTACGTTCAAAACGTACCTATGAGCAGGTTTTTACGAGTGGTTACGCGCAGATACGAAGCGATAATTCACAGCTGTACTGTAATAATGAAGCCATTTCAGTTCTGATGTAAACTAAAATTATATTTTCTTACAAAACCATAAGAAAAAAGATCTTAACATTCTTTGAAATTATAGGGCCTATCTTATGTATTGATAAAATTAAAAACCACCTCCAGCTTCAGGTATCACACTGCTGCAACTACAGACAGCCAGGAAGAAAAACAGTGAACAACGTTGGAATGCAATGTACCTAGTGGGCTGAAATTGGTACCAATTTACCTGGCTATTATGATGATATTCTTGGCTTCCCTTGAAGGCAAGTTGTATTCCTATTGACAAGAATATCAACCAGCAGACCCTACTAGCCTACAATTATCTTTAATCTAAGAATTTAAGCAAAAAATGATATCCTGTTCAGTTAAAAATGGCATTCAGTAAGATTGTATGCTTGTATCAAGAATACTTATCCCAGAACAAGCCCCTAACTAGAGGGCAGATTACAATTCAGGTGAACCCTTCATCTGATAAACTATGCCCAACCCAAAACTGATGATAAAATCACCATTATATGCTAGAGTATTTACAGTTTTCTTAAAAACCCATTTCATAGGCTAATTTAGGCAAAATAGGAGGCTAAACAAGTGGTAGCTGATTGTCAGTGGAGTGCTAAACCGATGGATCAGGATCCTAGGTCACTGGTTCAATGTCACACTATCGGTATCATTGTGTTTTTAGCTACATTACACAATTTAAAGTGTTAATCAGTACTATAGTAGACCGAGTTTATGACTGTCACCAGTTTTACTTTTATAATTAAATATGTGCTATGGTAGCATAAAACAACATTCTGGAATATGCTTCCTGAAAATACAAAAATGGCAGTTCATGTTTTGCTCCAAAGGGTATCTAACATTCCAATTATCAACCATTTATTGACATACTACCATTTATTGGAAATAATAAGAGTCGAGAACAGCAAATAATAACTAATTGTTCAAATTTACGCTTCATGAACTTACAGTACAGTACTTAGTAAAAAGAGATCGGAGGCCTAGAATCATGATCATTCCAATTGTTTACTGTTCAATATATTAAATTAAAGAGTTTCGATTAATTTAGTACATACAGTAATTCCTTCTTTATGTAATAATGTAAATAAATTTGCTTCAAATAGGGGTGTGCTTAAATACATCGAACATCATTTTCATAATTAAAAATGTAAAATTCCTGTGATATTTGATCCTCATTTATGTAAGGCAATCAATATGTACAAATGAAGAAAGGTGCAATATCTTGCGAGTCATACACAATAACAGTTAGTGATATCAAGACTTTAGGCTTGAAAAAACATACAAGAAACACCTGTAAGTATTAACTCTACTTTTAGTAATTGACCTCAATTGTTATAGAAAGATTATACTCAAAACCAATTATAGCATATACACTCACAATTAAAAACACACATGGGTTAATTATGGTAGAGAAATAATATACTATGAATTGAGCAAAACTTGAAACCATTATACTGTTACTACTCAGACATGGGCCTATCATATTTGTAATTTAATTCAATAACTGTCATGCTGTGATTGCCTAACTATTCAAACTAACGTAGAATTAAAATAAAAATCCCAAGACTTCAAATTCCAACACACTATTCCCGTTCCCAAAGAAAAAAAAAAAAATTCTACCCACAAGCAATTAACCTTTAAGTTTACACTTAGGAAAACAAAAAACAGGTAAACAAAATCTATGAGGACAGCATTAAGCCTAAAAACACCAAGCAACACCACCAATTTTTTAGCCTTATCAGAAGTGAACAACTTAAATTAATTCATCTAGTTTTCTATTCTATGTTAGCCCTCAACAATAGGGTTTTTCTATGAGTCTGGTTTCTTTTTATATTTATTATTATTATTATTGGGAAATTCCATATTAGAAAGTCAAAAAATGCCAAAATCAAAAAATGATCAAAAATATCTGCTTTTGGGTGAATTGGATCCAGATAATACTGGTATTCAAAACAATTATGTTTTTCATGACAATGATGGGAAATGCTATATTTTATATAAAAATGATAATTTTCTTGATTTTGATGATTTTCACCAACTACTATTCATTTTCCTCTTTATTTACAGATTGATTATACTACAGTCGTTAATGATAAGCCAACATTCAGTCTTGATAAAGATTTTTTGTTGTCTCGTACGCAACACAGTAGTCTAAAGTTAGCCCTAAAACCACATTTCAAAAGATAAAAGCTTTCAACTTCAGGTCCTTTTGAAGTTGAATTTATTGTTAACATTTTTCCTCCAAAAACTTGATTTCAGCCAAAATAACAATCATGCGTTGTTACCTATTGTACAACATACATGTGATAAAATATTTTTCTTTTGAATCATATTTTTTTTTTTTTTGTCTTTTCTTGTATATGTCCTCTGATAACTTCATTTTCCCTAAATGTTAATGTTTTTGGCTTTTTTCTTGTCTTCATTCATACTTTGTTTTATTATATTTTAATATTATTAAGTTTGTACCTGATAATTTTAATCAAAAGTATATTTAGTGTATTGAAATGTATTGATTTTATTGTTTTGTATTTTTATTATAAGAATTTCTAATTGTAAGTTTGATGTAATTTAGCAGCTACCAATTCAGCTGTCAAATATTGAATTTTTTGAAACTGAAAATTAAAATTATTACAAGTTAATAATCAGGCGGCAAAAACAGTTCATGAATTTCCTGTACACTACATATGGAATCGCCCTATTATTCATATTTTGAAATCAAATCCAAGATAAAGAAGAGGATATTAAAAAATAAGAAGTAAACAAATTTGGAAAAGCCATTGCAAAAGATACAATACCAGCAGGGAATACCAACTGCCATGTCTACTTTCTTTGTACAGTAGTTGATATTTTGGCATTTTCCTCTTTTTTCTAACCAAGAAATAGTCTGTAGGCCTAGAAAGTTGTACAAAGCTCCAATTAGATTTTGGTTTTGGGAATGGGTCATTCTCCTTTGAATTTTCACTACAGTATGAAAATGTGTAGGATAAGCTATCAACTTACATTCGCATAGCAGATGCTTAAGTTGACACCAAAACATGACCGTACATTTATATAGATACTAACTCATCTTTTGATACCAATGCTGGGCAACTTCACTGACAACTAAAATGGGATTGACATTTGCAAACGTGAGCAAGTTTGAGTATTTATAACAAACAAAACCATAAAAATAATTAACTTGAAGAATGTAGACAAGCTCAACCATCCAGAGGCATGCTCCTACATTATTTTTTTTAGGATTCATGTAAATAATCTAAAAAATCAATCATACACCAAGAGAACAAGCTTGATCAACTGTTGTATATTTAGCTGGAAATAAGGCAGTTAAGAATTAAACATCAAAACAGATTACTATGTCGTACCGCCAACATACCCCGCCAACATACCATGGTGACTGACTACTATCAAGTGGACAAAATAAGTTCCTCCACAGCTTTGCTAATTTTCCAGCTGATATGTATTAAAATTAAAACACAATAATTTCCAATTAAAAACATTAAAACACGAATCTATATACTGGATTATGAGTTTCGTGTTGTAATGTTTTTAATCTCCAATTAAAAACATTAAAACACAAAATTCATAAATCCAATATATAGATTTAAGGCTAACTAAAGACATTTTGTCATAAAATTAACTGAAATTTAATACTTAATTGATAAAAAGAAGAGATATTACATGGTGTTGTGTCAGATAAGCATAATCTTTTCAAAGATTGGAATCAACTAGTCATCTTACAATCCACTCTTAATGAAAGTTCCTAAAAGTTGTATTCTTCATGTTAATGAGGTCTGATATAGAAAATTGGCTCATGACCTTTTCCTTGTGCGACACTGTTAACTGTTAAATAAATAATGGATAAACTAAACAAAAAATGCAATTACAAAACTATAGTAGCCAAAATCTAAGATGAAGATCTTTGTTAGCTAATCACAAGATTGATATAATTTTTAAAGTGGACTACATTTTTTTAAGTAAGATAAATGAAGAAAAAAATTGTCAGTAAGGTAGTGATTTTCAAGTAACAACTGCTTATAACTTTCCATATCACCAGCACACATGAAATTTCATAACTACTACACATTTACATTTTGAATTCCAGACTTTGTATCCTAAGAAAAATGTAAGCTTGCATGGACTACCTACAGATAAAACACAATGAGAAAGCTTTGGGCTTGGCACGAGTGCAGCAACCACTTTTGGTAGTGTTTTCAAAACTTTTGAGCTGAGTTTAATCTGAGGCTCCTGTCTGAACAATTATAAAAAAGAAGGAATCATGTAGTGATTGTCATGGCAACCATTAGAACTTACCTATACAAGCGTGAACTCTGACCGACAGCTGTGTCCGCAGTAAAATTGAATTCCTCCTTCCTTCACTGTAAAAAAAAAAATACATTTTTCTGTCATTTTGATCATCAGATTCAATTCAAGTAGACTTGCATTATTATACACAATTGATCTTTTATTTATTAGATTAAATACTATAATAATGCAATAATACAACAGCCTAATTATTTTTTTAGCAAGTGTTTTTGATTTAGTAAACCGCAAGTGAGCAATGTGCAGCCCACAAGCACCCCAATGGTGACTTTGTTGCAGCCTGCAAAAATAAATTGAAAACCCTACAGTAAGTGTGCCTTCCACCAACAATCTTTGGATAGAATACGTCCCGACAACGCTTACCAATCATTTGTAAAAAGTAGGCCTACAGTAGAGAGGCTTATTATTAAAACTGAGCATAATGGTGTACAGTATAAGACACTAAGCAGTGCATTAAGCTGTCTGGAAGCACACTGGAAACATCAAAGTCTTAGCAGCCTTCAGTGTTAAATCAAAAATTCACTCTCTGACCCATTTTATGCCCACCTCAGTGTATACAAAACTCCTGTACAAAACCTACAAACCCAATGCAAACCATCCAAACCATTTCTTAATATTAGAGAAATTAACTTCTATACCAAAATTTGAATACAGTATTATAACAAAGTCCTTCAAAAATTAATTTATGTTCTAGGTTTTGCTGGTTTTTTCACACTAGGTTTATTGAGGGTTTGCAACTTAGCAATGATAAAGTACCACATTTTACCATTACAAGTATTAGCTGGGAGAAAAAACTAGAGCCTTGCAGGAGTCAACATTCCTATGCATGATACATGCCTAAAAAGTATATAGGCCCTATATATATATACATCTATTATATATATATATATATATATACGTATATATACATACATATATATACATGTATATATATACGTATACACAAGTATATATATGTACACGCGCGTGCGTATATAT